GTAATACGAACACAATTATTTATTATCTTACACTGGTTTGAATAATGTTTAAACATGCGTTTTCTTGTTTACAAAATGATAAACTCATGTACGACTCGGAAATCGCACAACAAATATTCTTGTTTTCCCCAGCCCAAGATTTAAATTATTCATCATATTATGTACTTAACGTAATGATAATATTTTATAACTCATATACGAGAAGTCAACAAGTGTATTTTGAACAAAGGTTTCTTCTTTTTTTTCAGTTATGATGATGACACGCAGAGGATATGGTATAATAATTTTTAATGACCACGCGGTAAAATAATTAAAGGACATTCTTAAGGGGACGTAGGATATTTTACATAATCAAAGGGTATTGCTTGCACCGTAATAATTGTGAAAAATCTAGCTCGTTTGTTAGTATAAAATCAAGCAAATCTAATTTTGTTCGTATTAATCTTATAAATCTGCATAGTATTATAATGATATATCATGTTTAATTATCGTACTCACGTGAAACTGATCATTATAAATATCATATTAATGGTTTAATTTTAAATCGGATTTTGTCGCGATAACGTTAAAAAAAAAATGTAAATAGTTGTTACCTCATTGAATTTTTTATTATAGTATGTGTAATGTAACTCAAGAGCCTAAATTTATAAAATAAAATTTAATTTTCCATTGTAGTGTTATCATGTTGTGATACTTAAATGAAAACGTAACTGTCGTAAAATTGTACATTAAAAGTGAACGGGTGAATGCGATGGAGTAATATATTATGTGTTCCAATAAAATACTAAATTCACTAGTGAAATACACGGGTAATAGAAATCCCGTGAAAATTTATATGCTATTATAATCTCTCAAATTACACTAAAAGCAACGTGCTGCAGTATTTATTAAATATCATACGAATGTGATATTTTCGAATCACACTTATTCGTTCAGTACTCAGTTTTTTAAGTCCATGCGTTGAATTAATATCGATGTTTGAAATTTCGAGTCTAAACCATTATTTAACGCGCATAGAAACGTAATAATTTATAATATAATATAATATAATAAATTTATATAAATATATTTTATTTTCATGTTCGTGTAGCATAAATCTTTTCAAAAACGAGATTTTAGGGACGCCATATTTGGTATATACATCGGTGACCGGACTTTTATAAAAATAGGTTAATACGGTTAGAAACTTTCAGGAATGGAAAGGACAAAACGCAGTTTTCTTATATTTGATAAGTGATAAGTATCGAAAAAGAGAATTATCTTTTTTTCCTTTCCCGTTTGATTTATGGTTTAGTGTTGACCAAAACAAATTTACAGGTATAATACTATTAGAGAGGAAAAGGAATACGTAAATGCTTACACTATGTACAATACACATATATTTATCATAATTTGCTTTATTCAGAATCTATAGATAAAGTTTTTACCATTTTAATTCTGTTTTATCCATACTAATTAATCAAATTTCAACCGTATACAGTTACTTTTTTAATTAAACATACTAATCGAAATTATCCTAAAAATATTCGGTGAAATTTTTCTGAATTTTTGACGCAAAAATTGAGAAAACCGTTATAAAACTATACTGTAAGCGATTTTTTTTATCTTACATATAAGTATTCATACATGATTTAAAATCAAACTACGTTAAAGGTTTTTTCTTTTTTTTCTCGTTTTCCAGATACTAATACGTACACCAACTTGAAATAGTCAATACTTGAATACCAATAGGACTTTATATTTACTTGTGTTACTTTTTTCTTTGTCTTTTGCAAAAGTTATATTTAGCTGGAATGATTTATTTAGTCTTTGATACATAGCCTTTGGAAAACTTTCTACCGCATTACTTCGTCGATCTCATTAACATTTTATCGTCATAAAGTTGTGTTCTTGTTTGACCGTTCACCAACACACTGTACAGATATTTGTTCGGTTCAGTTTGCAGTTTTCGTGTGCGAAATTTTTATTTTATCATTTCGCGGAGAAAATGTCGACCACCGGTGAAATATTATCACGCGTTAAGAGATCAATCGAATCACAATGTACCGAAATCGAGCTCGTAAATAATATTTAACACTTGATCGAGATATATGATTAAATCCGGTTCGTATAAAAATGCGTGACGTCACGGGTAAATTTTGAAAAAATAAAATAAAAGTAAGTATTCTATAGGTACCGATATAATATATAAATATATTATACTCCACCGGAATCAAATTGTATACAATACAATTTATATGTAGCTATGATTGCAAAAGAAGCTTTTGTGGTAACGATAGATTTTTCTGTATATAATTTGATTTAATAATAATAATTTTTTCATTCTACAACAAGCATATTAACAAGTAAAAAAAACTGCGCATTTCGGTGTTGAATGTTTTTCCATCGTTCCTCTAGTTCTCGGACAGGATAGTGTAATTGTACTGTACTCGATTTGAATGTAATGACTGTATTCGATAAAAAACGATTCTGAGCGGACGAGGGAATCTTTTTTTATTAAATTTTATTCGTTTCTATGGTGATAAACAAAGCGTTTTAAGAACAGCTTAAGAACGATTTATATTAATAGGTTATTTATATAACTATAATTATAATTTATAATTAGGAAATATCATTAAAATGAAAAAATATAAAATAAAAGAAAAAGCTCAAAAGTTGCTCAAATGTTTTGAAAATTTTACCATGTCTAGTTATAATAACACTAATAATAACGGCAATAGTGGCAATAAGACGTAAGGTATTTGGATTTAATAAATTATTCATCTGTCAAATGGACTATAATACTTAATCTTTTTATCAGGTGAAAGTTAAAATTAAAACAAGTATGATGCATAACAATCTCCATTATTTGAAATTCATTTTTGACTCGTTAAATTGCGTTTCCAAAGTACTTGAAAAAGTATGAATATAACACAATTATTAATTATTATCTTCATAGAAATAATTTGGGAATCAACCCAAAATACTCAACGAATAACTTTAACATGTCGTGATGCATATAGTTATGACTTCGAGGGCTAACCTGTTGAGGATTGATGTTACCCATAATTATATGATTATATGATTATAATATTATATTATATTATATTATATTATATTATATTATTATTATAGTTATATGATTTCGCGATTAGATTCGAATCTGAATAGTTAAAAATATCAAAAATGTTGTTCATTTATTGATGATTTTTTTTGTCATTAACATTATCGTAATGTCAATAAAACTTTATGCATTATAGTAATTAATTACAAATATGTGTTATGAAGACATTTAATCCATTAAAGGTGACAGTTATCTCACGGTTTTCGACTGAAATCCTTTTCGATTTTTTTGAAAATAAGCCGTTGAAGTAGAGAACTGTGGAAACTACTATTGGGTTTACATCGGGCCGGGTTTTTTTTTAATTTAAACTTTTCGGAGTAAGAGAAATGTTTGCATTTTTAAAATTTCTGAGCAGAAATATAAAGCGTAAAATGGTGAAAAACGTATTTGTTTTAACAAAATATCGGACATTTTTCAGATGAATTGAATTGTATTCGGAATCTGATATTTTGTTGCGTTTAAATAGAAAATAACAACACCACTATTTCCTGCCAACATGAGCAAAACAAGACTATACCAAATGTTGGTTGTCAGAAAGATACAAATATTTCATTGATTAAAAAAAAAATTGTCCTTCGTATGAAAAAAAAAGTAAACAAATGTTTATTATATTGAAATTCTTGCAAAAGGAAAGAATGTAAGAGTTTCCACTCAGAGATATCTATTTTAATTTTGTCTTTCGTTTAAAATCGAAGTTCTTCTGATTTATTCCTAAAATATTATTTTAAAGTAAAACTTTGATAATAACTTCGTTTTGGAAATCTCAGTAAAAGCCAATACCATTTTATTAGAAATTGATTTATTTTTAACAAATGCTGATCAGATTTATTTTTATTTTAATGACGTGAATAATGTTATCATATTATATTTTTCATAATACTGTTGAATATATACTATCGTCATTATTCTATTTACAATCATAAATGGTCATTTTTTTGTTCTACAAAATATTTCTGAAATGACCACTCATAGCAATTGATGTGTTTACCTTTTTCGGTATCGTTAAAAAGTTTTTTTTACAAAAATTTACAAAATAATAAAATAATAATAATTGTACAGAATAATATCATGGAATAACGTAGAATCAGATAAGATAGTGAAGTATCGAACGTCTCGCGTTGCGGGTGTCAAAATATACCGCTGACGTGTAATGACTAAAAAAAATGGGTGTTAAACAAAGGCCATTCTTTAGGAATTTTTTATGTAGACCGAAAATTCGATTGAAATGTTGATTATTTTATCGAATTTATAAGAAAATATCAACTATCGAAATACGATTAGAGGTTGGTTATATCACTAAACCATCCTTCGAAGGGACCAGATTTTACCCACGTAAGAAAGACAATAATATCGCTGTAAGAGCGTTGCGATGACATCACGCGGCCATTCCAAATACAATATTTCTATAACTCCCGGCGCAATGATTTCACCGAAAACATTTTAAAAATTCAGTTATTGTATTTACAATTCAAATACGGCGTCGCAGCCCGGAAATAAATGGATGCGGAAGCAGTGGTTAGTCATCGTTACCGTTACATGGGAACCGTCGCGCATTTGCGCGCCCAACCCGGGGTTAATCCGATTGTCTATCTCAGCGCCCGCGGGCCCGTGACCGGAGTTCGCGTCCGGCTGTACGCGCCGAGGAAACGCAATAAAAACAATTATCGAGACGATATAGTGATTATAACGTGATGGGATGTCGGTTTTCTTAAGCGGCGGCGATGGCTGGTGCGGGAAGGGAGTGGGACTCGATCGGGTCGACCTTGTGTTCCGAACGGATATTATAATTACCGAAATCGATTGTGCACGGCAATACCGATTTCGGTTATGATAATATAATAACGCCTGTATATTGTATATATAAATAGTATAAGAAATATATAAGACGCAGCTTTAGCGCCAGCAAATCATTAGTAGTTTTTCCCTTGTGCCATCGGCGTGTCGGCGGCTAAAGAACAAACAAACGTCATCGCAACAATGGTGAGTACAATCAGGGATCAGATTCTATAGTTTTCGATAATATATTATTGTTGTAGACTGCCGTAATAACATATCCGGGTGAGTAATACGTGTTTGTCCTGGGCAACAAAATAAGTATTTCGAATCTCAAATTGTATACCACACGTCAATAAGAATTAAAATATAGAAAATAAGTTAGTACTTTTAAAATTGGTAACCATACGAATTTAAGTTTCTCAATAATCCCGAGAAACAGGTGAAAAGTTAGACAAATATGGCAAAGTTTACGGAATACCTGTTTTCGAAAAAATCGAATTTTCGTTTCCGTTGTAGGTGCTTGTAAAAAATTTAAATGTTCATGTATCTCAACTTTTTTTTTTTCAAAACTGTTAATAAAATCATTTTGATTTGACAAAAAGTCTTAAAAATTTTTTATATAGTTTTCCATTCATATCTATTATTGATAAAACAAAAAATTGAGTTTTATTTCCAGAACAAATTTTAGGAGCGTTTAAATATTACATTTTGACCAAACCATTAAAATCACAAAAATCTGCAGCGTTTTTGTAGTTAAAAATTAATATAGTTTCTTTTTTTTTTTTACTCTAGGCTTAAAAATTGAATATAGGTTTTTTAATGATTTTATCTGTAATAAAAAAACAAATAAAAAACACTGGAAAATTACAAATATGCTTAATTAACGTTATAAAATGAAATGTTGACAAAAACGGTGGTTCTAACGATATTCCATTTAGTTATTAACTTAAAGGCATTTCATAGTTTTGAATCATTTTAACGAAGTTTGTGCTGTTTAAAGGCACTTAAAAGTTTTGATATTCCAAAATTTGTTTTTGCAAAAGTTAGAACATTAAAAGACAAACTACTTTACTAAGAAATTTGTTTCTTCTACTTTATCAACCATCTTCAAGAAAATAAACTGATTCACCCGATCTCTTTTACTCGAAATAATTTTTTCAAGTGCAATGGTACATGTTTTAAGTTTTAAAGACCAATATAGTTATTCGCTATTTTTATTTTTTATATTTTTATAGTTTATTTTAGGATTCCTAATCCTTCATATAAAAGCTTAAATTTCAGTAATTTTTAGTTTTTATCGCAAAATAATCCAATCCCTGATAATAAACACGTCTGAATTTTATGAATGTGAACATGGAACGCGCGTTGTTATCGGACCGATATTCATCAATTCATTTGTTTTATTTTTATTTTCGTCAATTATTAAATCGGAATTTTCATAAGAGCCGAAATCACCGAGGCACGTTTATATGGTGTAAACTACTCGTTCCTACGTTCGGGTTCGATGCTGATAATATATAATTTGAATAATTCAACGTTCTTCGGCGAAAATGGCGGTTTTTGGCGAGGGCTTAAATATAACTACGCGATTAGTAAATAAAACACAATCGAGTAGATTTAATTTTATCTAGATTTGAAGCAGTGTGACCGGTTCAGGGGTACGATCACATTAAATCGACATGGGCTCACTCTTTTTTTACATTCCAGTGGCCCATTAAATCGTACATCCCTCCAGCCAACCCCTACCACGCTTGTATTTTAATCTGATAGTAAAGTCGTCGAGAACCGTTCGTCTCCACCAAGAATTTTAGTTATTTTATATTTCTTTTCCTTCTATTCTGACTTTCACGGACAACGATAAGTGTTTCAATGTCAACTGTAATTAATAGTGCACCCTTCGTCCAACCGACATAATATTGTTCGTAATTATTCATTTGAAACCGACACAACATCTGTATACAAATTCTTACCTCTCCTCTACTTCGTGCGATTACGTCTTGCTATATGAGTTAACAGACTTTGCATTGCGATTTGAAATTTTTTAAAAACTGTTTCCGTTATAACATCCTAGTGGTATAAAGATCTCGGATCTAAAACATATACATAACTATTTTTTAGGTTCACCTAATTTTAAAATCATAGTTTGAGTAATATTGTTTTGTGTACTGAACGATTTTTTTCAAATAAAAAATTTACGTTAGATTAAATAAACTAAATAAAACAAAATCATTAAACTATGAATATTTTTGTTATACAACTTAATAATATTTTGTTCATAAAACTTTTATCCTTCATTACTTTTTAACAACGTATGACGCATGAAAATTTAAATCTTATTACGTTGGTAAAAATAATTAAATTTAATCAACAATTTTAATCATACTAATTATATTTAAACTTAAATGAATTTTTTTTTTTTTTTTTGCTTAATATAGGCCATGGTTTATCGCAATTAATATTACTTCCCATCATTCTCTATTTCCACCATCTTTTCTGAATTCTCTATTCCTATCAAACTTAGGCCTTGATGTACACGATTACGCCAAGTCATCATTGTCTTGGTCGACCCATGGTCCCATTTTTATCCTGCTTCCATGAAGTTATTTTATTTAATAGTTTTCCTTCAGAGCGTCAGACAAGTCCTGCCCATCCGATTATTTTGTTCTTTATTACCACTACTATATCCGGTTGGTTGTATAGACTATTCAAGTCAATATTAGTTCTGCTCACATATTCATTGGTTTCCTCATTGTTTTCAAGGTTTTTAATTATAATTAACAGTTGATATTAATCACTTAAGAGTTTCGCTCGTAAACGTTTCCGACACGCGATCGTTTTCCACGCTGTTCAGACCGCTGTAAAGTTTCTTTTTCTCAGGCAATGTTTTCCAGAACACACAAAACGTACAGAATACATGAAAATGATGTTCTATTTTTTTACGATATTGTGATCTACCGCACAGCGTACTTACTGCGACAACCCGTTGCTGCGTCCATCACGGTCTCTATCGATGCCCGACCGATGTGTTTTTCATCAATTCATTGCCATTTCCGTGTTTTCGCAGTCTCGTCACAGTGGTAACGTGGCGGCTCTCGTTGGTTCGTGCCTGTGGTTGGCGCTCACCGGAAGCGTTTGCGACGACGTGCCGGGTACCGCGAATGGCGGCAACGTTGCGACCGGAAGTGACGACGGTCTCAGGAGCAAACGGTTCGTTGTGATCAGCGGTGACGGGGTGCCCGACTACGGTGACATTGGCAACGACTACGACGACTGGTACGACGACGAGGTCTACGAACACGACTCCGGTCACGGTGACGGCGGCGGTGGCGACCACGGTCACGACCACGGCGGCGGTGGCGACCACGGTCACGACCACGGCGGCGGTGGCGACCACGGTCACGACCACGGCGGAGACGACGACGACGACGACGACGACGGCGACTATTTCTACTACCACGGCGACGGTCCCGGTTACCATCATCACTGGTGGTGGCATCACTTTTACCACCACGGTGAGCCGCACCTGCCGTTCCCGTTGTTCCCGCCGATATTCGTTCACCGGCGACCGGTGCACCGCGGCTGCAGCGACTGGCCTTTCGTGTGCCGGAGCACGTACGAGGTTATCCGGTGGCTTCAGTGTTACCACGAGTTCGTGCACGACCATCACGATCTGCCACCGGTGCACGTGAGCCCGTGGCGGAAATGACCGCAGGAAGGGTTTAGAACGACCGCACCGTGTACATATATAGCAGGGATGGGCAACTCAAAGTTTCTAGAGGGCCGATTCTCGGAAAATAAAAATCTAGCGGGTCAGCGCATACAGGACGAACAAAAAAAGGTCGTTCGAAATATTAATTTTAAATAAAATTTTGTCTACACGGAACTAATGGATTCAACACACGCGACAGCACGACGCGAACGGTACGAAGAAACTGTTTAATACCAGATAAAAATTATTATAACGATGAGATAGAGTATAAACGAAAAAATTAAAAATATTATGATGCGATTTGAAAACATAGAACGGGCCAGATAAAAAAATACTCGCGAACCGGATCCGGTCTGCGGGCCGCCAGTCGCTCACATTTGATATAGTATTCTTTAACGACTTTCGGGATCGTCATATTTCGGTAATCAACAAACAACATCGGCCTTTTCGACACGAGCAACGAAAACGCGCGTCGAACCGTCTAGGTCCGTACGTTCCAAACCGTTATGCCGTCGCGATCTCGAATAAGGCCGCCCCCGAGGGTCGAATCATCCTTCTGCTGCACTCCCATGCGCAACGCGTCCATCAGACTTCTCGGGGAGTTCCTCGTCACGAGCCCTGAACGCGTGTGCACCCGTCCCACGTCGACCGTCCCGTTTATTTATTATTATTATTTCAAACACAAAACAAGCTCTGTCGCCAGTGCGCGCGTACGGTCCCGGCCGATTTCGATCGCAACGAGTTCACAACATTCAAACGCGAATTTTGTGCGAGTGTCGAAAGGTGTTCGGTTCATGAAATCCTGCATTTGGTTCACTTCGTTTAAAACTCACGCCATTAGTTTTATAATTATTATTGTTCGGCTCGTGGACATCCGCAGACGAACCTAGTGCTTTTTGATTTAGCTTCCGAGACTGCTTAGTTGCTCTGATTTACCCTCGGACTACCGTGACCCCGAATACTCTTCCACAAATACAGAGAAATGTAATCAATCTATATCCTGACACTGCTTTTTACTTTTTTCTCTTCTATATATATATATATATATATAGGGAGATAAATATTTTACGACAGACCACATGATCCATATACCGTGTACACAACTATAGTGAATCTTTGATCATTCTCTACGATAACAGCGTGAGAATCCTCTTCGTGTTATTTACCGTTCGTCTCATGTTCCTATCGTGTGCTTCACGTTCGTTGATAAAAATGTCTCGTAAACACTGGACGTAACCGGACCATTTGTATGTTTATGAAAATATATAATGTAATTCGATTGATTTAGAAATAGAATCTCTGTTGAAAACAAATATTAAGTATTGATTGAAAGGCGATAGATAATCGACAAACAGCTTTTGAAAAATTACCGTGAAAAAAATGGCTGGCTCGTGAAAAATATAAAAATACAATATTATTGTTGTTATCTAACGTTAGACAATTTGTATGTATTATTTTAAATTGTATTTTATATAATCCATAAGTTTCATTAATAAGATGTGCACGCAATGATCTCGTTGTATACGGATTATGAGTGCCACTAATAGTATATGCTTCTGTTCTATGATATTGTGACATGCGTACATTTTGATTAAAAAATGTTACAACACTTTTACTTGTTGTAGAAATTATATTTACATATTATTCAATTGCAAATAAAAGATAAAAAATGTTACTATTGTGTCAAATTATAATAGCGTGAGAAAATATTTTTAGTATCTTATTGGGTACTTATTAAAACTGTAATAAAGGTATGAATAATATTATATACGTAATACGAAAAACTAAATCTGGGATTACACATTCTACTTTTTGTCATTTTAGTGAATATTTATTCATTAAATCATCTATTTATTTCAGATATTTACTCATTGATTTATTATTGATTCGTATTATTTTGAATAATAGGTTATTCATTATACTATTAACATAGTATGATATATAAATAATATATTTAAATATGTACCTAATTTAATACATGTTTACACAGCTATTGTTTTACCCCACACATTTTCTCTGCGAGAAATTTCGAACATTGATATTTTCATTAATTTGTGACATTTTTTATAAAATCAATATTTTATTTTTTCGATTACAAATAACGATAAAATTTCCAAAAATGTATCATAAGGATACTAAAAAATAAAAATACCATAGGTTTTACCTTTGTGATTACATTTTTGTGAATATTTTTCATGGAAGCTTTTACTTCAATTCCTGCCTAAACACGAAAGTATCACTCAGTTACATAAATTATTTTTGCTCTGAAAAAATTATGTTCTTTAATTTACATCAGTTTTTGATGATTAAATAATATAATTCATTATATATGTATGGTTTATGTAGATAAAGTTTAATTCTGTGGGTATTGACACTGTAACACGTTTTTTATATCAACGTGGTACCACTTGATACAATTTTCATTTTTATTTAAGCGAAGTAGTTTTAATACATATTTTTTTTTAACAACTCGTGACAAATTTTTTAATTATATACGTTTTCGGTAAAAGCATTAATAATGCATCGATGTAAATTTTAGGAATTACGTAGATTGCTCATTTTACTGAAACATAATTAGAAGTCCTTCATGGTTTGATGAGTTACAACAAAATGGATTGAAAATTTTATTAATTAGTGATTTTCGTCATAATTTTTTTATGATACAATGTAAGTCTGTTGATAATATTTAAAAAGTGATGAAGTTTTCTTGTTAAAAAATATATTTTTCGAAAATATTTCAAGAGACTTTTGTTCACTAGCACCGAGTTAAAATATTTATTAAAAATAAATCAAATGTTCTACCTAGTTATTTTTTTTTTTATGATACGTATATATGAGATAAGTATGAACAAAAATTTGTAGCGTATTGAAGAAGAAAAACCTGAGTATTTCGTATTTCGATAACCGGATGAGAAAATCATGCCTTTGGTCGTTATGTGTTTTCCTGCCTTGAAATATAGTGAATTGAATATTCATCCCCGTCACTAACCGCCCGCGAGTGATCGAACGTGACCGTTACCGTCGCACGGCGTATCGGTTTTTATATTCTATTACGGTTCTGCGCAATATCGTGCAATATACGCCGGTAATTGTATAATAAAAACGTAGTGGTTATTAAAACGGAAAAAAAGAAATCATTTAGGTTTATCGATTTTTTTTATTATTATTGTTATTTCAGAAAGTGCCGCGGCGTTTGTTCCTTGCGCGCGTGAAGATTATCCGGGAGGAACTATATTATTACCGATACGTTGCGATGAAAAATAACGTGTACACGAAAGTCGTATCTCGTACGCCTAACCTGGGAGGAAAAATAGAACGAAATATATAAGTATTTTTGATTTTCCGGTGGGAATCTAGCGACATTAGGGCGGTCCGGCAGGCCGTCATCCATCGGCCGTCGTAGGTAGGGTAATTTGAGTGAAGCCGAGAGAAATATAAACGCGTAACGACAACGTTGTTCAAAAGTCGTTTTGCATCGCTTCGCAGTGAATCCACGTACTCGCATCCCGCCCACACGTCTCACCCGTCTTCGCGCCCCTCAAACCTTCGGAGGTCCGGTAAAATTAGCTCGTATTAGCAATGCCGGTGCTGCTCGTAGCGCGCAAAGACCGTCGGCCGAACGCATCTGGACGCGCAACAGCGGTCGGGCGGGCGGTAATCGCGTCCGTACGCACGTCTCGGCCGTGCACGAAACGGGCCGGGGACGTGATGCGACGGAAAACGTCTCGTCCTGGTCCCTCGTCCGTTTCTTCCTCGCCGTTACATTTTTACCGTCGCGCCGGCACACGTTCCGTTGTCGCCAGCACACGCGTTGCGATGCGCTCGGGGCAGCGCCGGCACACCTACCGTGTGCAAACCCACCCTCATACCCCGACGTACGCGCGCTCCTCGGGGGTTGCGTGTCCGGTCGAAGGGTCCGCACCGCCGGATCGTGCTCCGCTCCGATTTCTAAACGTCTCGTCACGCGTCGCCCACGCTAACCGGAGAGAAACGAATCGCATTCCAGAAAAAATCGTTTTGTTCCTTACGCGACCTTACGACCTCGACGACCCGGTGGAAAAAGAAGAAAAAACCGATCGCGCCGACACGGTTAATACTCGCGTCACGGTGTACGATTGCGGCGATCGTTTCGTTTTGTCGAGTGATAAAAATCGTAATAACTAAATATTTTCAATGTCATGTCAATTTCGATCTCTTGAAATCAATTAAATTGTTCACTGAACATAAGTTGCCCCGATGTTCGAATCCAGTTACTCTCGATTGGTGCTACGATAAATAGTTTACACGATCATTGAAAAAACGACAACGTCCACAAATACGCACATTCTGGTCTCCGAGTTGGTGTAAATGGCGAAAAAGAATACTAACCGTATCGAGTTAATAAAATATTATTACAAACCAAAAATAACTGTGTTTTACTTATATCAATGTTAATATATGAAAAATCATGTACCACGGATGAGTATACGAGTATATTCTAGGGTAAACATTGAATTCAGATGTAATACTATTGTTTTTTTTTATCTATATGTATAAATGTATGAAATTCAAACACCAATTACTTACTGATTAGCGTACTGCCAAAAACACTTTCGAGGAAACGTACTTTGTAAAGACGTAATGATAATGACATTTTCGAAAATCAAATTCCACGGGTCACGTTTGTTGTTTGCTCTTGGCTGGATACGTAAATTATTTTCACTTCTCGGTTACCTGAAAAAACATTTTATTTCGCCGTAACATGTTGATCTTAATAATTAACCGTATGATGTGTGAAACGTGAATCGATAATGCGCAAACAAATGAAAGTAAGTATCGAAGGAATACACGACGGCGAAATTGTTTCCCAAACAAGACCCGCGTAATTTAGCAACGGTACATAATTTTTGAACACCAAGTGTTTACGGGGTGCGATAGCGTTATTCGGTTCGCCCCGGAAGTCAATCGCGTTGCGGATAGATAAATATTTTTCATCCGTTTAAAATCGACTGCGTAAGACATAGGTCGCGTTACGCGTGCGCCGCGTACGACAACCGTGTTTACGGTTACGGTTACGTGTAATACGGGCACCGACGATAAGATTTCGGGACGGGGAAAACGAGTGAATTCGAAAAGCGAAAGCTAATCTTTATCGACGCGACGCGAACGCGGGGCACGCGAAACGCTATCGAGTCTGGTGTGTTGTTCACCCCTCGAGAGTGTATCGCGAATAGCGTTGCGCACAGTGTCACGGAGATAACAACTTAAGTCGAAAGTTAAATATCTATTATGTACGCGCAGGAGTCTTTTCGCAGGAGTTCCCCCGCTCCCCCGTCTTCTCCGCCGTTCAGTCGATTTACATTGTATAATGTACACCGCACACGTGTGTAAGACCGCGTATTCGAATGCGCACCGGCGCACACGCACGTGCACGTCACGTTGTAGCCGGTACGGGGTGGATCGCTCGAACAGGAGGTACACGTGACGCGTCGGATCATGTGCGCTCGTACATAATATTAATCTCTTAGGTGTTACCCACCGCCCCCCCTCCCCCCCCGGCAGCGCCGACTCGAACAAAAGTTGCGTTCCCTTAGTATAACGTTTTCGGTGCGTATTGTTCACGCGCGCGCGCGTGCGTGGCAAAATAGCGCATAATGTTTACTCGAAAGTCTCGCGCGTTCGGGATAACCATTTCCAATTCCTCACGCCTCTTGTGCGCGTAGAACTTTCGTCGTTGTCGTCTCGTCGTTACGATTACGTATGCCACGCATGCGACCCGTCGTCGACCCGTGCAGGGTTGGTCACACGGCGGCGAGTCGTCGTAACAGCACGTTTCGGAATCGATTTTCGAACGCTGTACGCGATCGTATCGCGTTAAGACCGTTCGCGGATCTTAGCGCCGCATACGATTTCACTCGTTCGTAACAACTAATCAACGGTAGAGAACGACTGGCGGCTGTTCTTCGCCGAGTTGAACGATTACAGCGACGTACGGTGGCTGCGTCCGCGAAGGCGTTTGCCAGTCATAACGTTACGTGTCCGATTATTGTGCAATCAAAATGTTTTGCGCCGCGAACAATGATGTTGTATCGTACGTCATGAACACATTCGATAGTTCGACGATGGTTCTTTGTGGGATTACTATGTTTATTTGTTTTTCTCTACCGTTCTGCGTCTACCTTCGCAGTGTTGCACGAAAGAAGAAAAAAAAAATGTTACGCGGCGGTTAGAACGTCGCGTGAAACAATTACATAATGTCAAACGTTCAAACAACAACTTAAAAAACGATAGTGACGTATGCTTAGCGATTTCCTGGAGTCGAATGAGATCGTTTATCGACAGAAATGTACCCGAATTGCCTATACGGGACGCCGTGTCTCCCATAGTTCGCAAGTTACGCAAGGAACTTGTGTTTTTTTCTTATTGTTATCGCTGAACTGTATTTACAGTGGTATACAGTTACTGCATTCCATGGCGAATCGAATAATAATTCATGTAGCAAGTAATAACTAAAGAGATGTAAAAAAAAAAAAAGCTTTTGTCACGTAGCGCAACACAAATTTTATAAAATATTAAAATTATCAATAATAAAATAACAATGATAGTATTATTATAAAAAGAACAAACAAAATGCAATGTTCCTGAAATTAATAATTATAATATTTTCATGGGCATTCAAATAAGTGGAAATATGAAAATATCAAATAGAATGATAATGATGGCGGAGAAAAAAAAACGCAAAAAAGGCTTTCATGACGGTTAAGAGCGGACAAGAGTCGTTGTAGTTCACACGGTAGTCGTCAAACCGTCTTTAGGCATTTTGTGATACATCGACGTCTCCAAAACTGATTCTGTTAATCAAACAGGCATCCCGATTGATAATTCAACATGTGGCGATATCTAGGAAAATGGGTGTAATTGGTAAGATCGTAGTATTTATCTGCCACGACTCGATTACGATTCTATCTTTTAATATTTTCTTATAATATATATATTTTTTTTATATCTATGATTTTGTTAAAAATCACTATTCGACCGAAATATCTTAATGAAATTAATTAATATTTTTTGTTTTGCGAAAGGTTAGAAAAACTAACCTAAAAAGGTTGTGCTAGAAAGAAAAGGACAATTTTTTTTGTTATTTAAATTTTAAAATCTAAAAATGCCATGATACCTTAATCATAATTCATAAAAAAAAAAAATCCTTGGTGAAAATTTCATAAAAATGATATTTATTAAAATAAAAGTATGTGCGTTGAATATTTATACTTTATGGACTTCAAAAATCAACATGTATTTATTTAAATAAGTATAAAAAGATGTATGTAATTATTTTTTGACACAAGATGATCTATTTAAATTACATTTATCGAGAGGTATTTATATTTATGTATTTCGAAGAATTTATTTACTTAATATACCTATTTTTACCCAGATACTATATCGAAAAAAATTAACCGTATACGATCTAATCATTATACTTGTGAAGCGTAAAATATGAAACTATTATACATACCGTATTCGTTTTTATTTTCAAAAAAATATAAGATTGTACATTATGAACACCATATAATAATATTTTGTGTTACAGAAAATTACGAATTTCACCTCTTAGATTTAAACTGATTAGTAATATCGTAGATAGTAATAAAATATCTGAATATGTGATAAAACAAAGCGATTAAAAAATGTCGTAACTTACATTATTCGTAAAAGTAACGTTTAAACAAATAATTGAAACGTGACTGTCTCAAAATAAAAAAACAAATTTAATGGAGCTATCCATATTATACGATGTCGAACACATGGAGTAGTTGACGTGACTTGTTTTGCATTTTAATGAAATGTACATAAAGAAATGAATTCAAATTTTTTTGTCAGCGCATAAATGACTGGGGACACGGTAATAATATATAAGGTTAAACAGGATGGACAATATCATTTTAAACGGGAAAGCACAACGAAACGATCGCTCTCACTAAATTATGTGCATTATTCTGACCCATACAGGTATTACCTATTAAACGTATTCGAACAATGTACACATATATATATATATATATCGCGGGAGTGTATTCATTGATAACCTTTTTTTTTTCACTTCTTTTCCCTTTTTTTTTTGTTCGACCGGAGAATTACAATTAGTGTAATAGTTATTCTGTAGTAAAAAATCGTTATTCAACTAATTGTTTTACGACTATGACCCAAGTAATATGTGCCAAGGTTTCATTATACTAATATTAATTTAGATGAGCTCAATTCTAAAACGTTTTCCGATATGCGATTATAAATAAATATAATTACGCAATTGATTCATGGTATCAAAAAGTAAAACTTTTTATAGGAGAATATATATTTTTAGAGAAAACCGTGTTGAAAATTTTTTTTGAAAACTTCAATTATTGTACAGTAGAAATTAAAATATTTTACAATAGTAACACCATAGGTACAATAGAACTAAAGAATATCTCAGTTAAGCCTTATTTGAGAGAATGCTACTTAGATGACTGTAATAATTAAAATTTTTGCGTTACAAGTGTTTCATAAACACAAACTGTATCGGTGAAATGTATATTATTTTTATTCAGTACCAGTTGTAAAAGGTTTTATGTATATTTCTTCGCTTTGAAAAGGATATAGTTAAATATCGCACAATTTTGAATAAAAACACATATTCTGCATTCACCGTTATATCTCGTTTTCGGTTACTCGCAAATAAATATTTTATTAAATTATGTTTTTCATAAAAACCATTTTACAAAACAAAAGCCAATTATATTCACTTCGTTTTACGAACAGATCTGGAAACGAATCGATCTAGATGTGTAGCATAAGCACCATGTTATTTACAAACATTTTCAAAATTCATTTCTTGAATGATTCGACACCGTGGCATAGAACCTTTTCGTCCTTGGGTCACGTAATTACGATTTGTTTATTAATTAACTACAGCTTGTCCGTACTGCGAAAATAGCGACGTGGCAATAATAAAGATGATATTATTATGCTCAGTTAGTCGGTGGGGTTACGAAGAAAATGTTAAAGTGCTACGCGAGTAGACTTTTATATGATCTAATGCCTCGATAAATTGCACTAATTGTTAAGAGTCATAGTGAATCGTCACTGTTCACAAAAATGGTTGTGCCGTAAGATCAATGCACGTATTTAAATAATATTCCGATTTACCGTTATTTTTTTATTTTCATTAAGAGTGGAAAAATGAAAATTATGCGTCGCACGTAAAACGAAAACGCGAATTATAAATTATTTTAAATTTAAATATTTGGAATCGATAAAAAATCATGTCGTGAGCCGATAGTTTAAAACAATAAATAATCACTTAACTATGATCAGGTAAATGATATACAATACAGATTTGATAAGATGAATAAAGTAAAATCTTGAAGATGAATCGTCGCGAACGTACGTGCATAAAACAATGACGAGTATAATATAACGCATATGAAAATAGTTACATGTGATGCTTATACCATGTGATAGTATTTTACATAAGTGTTTTTCTCTTGGAGCTCATACGTAAAACGAGAAGCAGCATAAGAAGTAATACAATGTGTTCACCGAAATGTAATTGGTAAAAATATTTAATAATAAAACCGTGCATTTTTGTCAGATTTGGTTCACCAAATGATTAAAATATGTAATCGTATTAGAAGATAGTTTGCACCGAAATCGAAAGGATTGCGATGTTTATGCATTATATTTGACTTTTCGTATACATTTTAGGTTTAAAATCGTAATACCGGATCGGATGCATAGTTTGAAATTCCAACATCGAAGCCGAATGTTCACGTAAAACATATTGTTACTATGGATTAATGGGTACACGCTCGTTTAGTGAGAATTCAAGGGTTGAAATGAGAACGACAAATTTGGTCTTTGCAAGAAATAATCTTGTAGTACCATACTCTCCGCTCAAAAATATTTGACCCACCGAGATCACATGATACGTGACGATATGTTTGATGTGCATTTTTACCGTTTCGTTTAAAAGGAAGTTGAGACACATCGAGTAATAATTAT